GTAACAGCAACAGCAATGTTAACAGTAACAGCAGCAGCAATGTTAACAGCAGCGGCAGCAGCAGTAGCAGCATCGCAGCAGCAACTGCCGCGACGGAAGCGCTGGCGGCAGCAACAGCCAGCAGCAGCAGCCTGGCAGCAATAGCTGCCGTCAGCAATGGCACGCCCGAGCCGAGCAGCAGCATCATAAGCTATGCCAGCAATCACAGTAGCAGCAGTGCCTGCAACAGCAGCAGCGGCGTCTTTTATGTGCCGCTCAATGGACTGACCATGCAGCATCATCCGGCGTACAGCAGCAATGTGGGCGCCACGCATGTGCCCCTCGACAATGCGCTGAACATGTTGGAGGCGACGACAGCAATGCATAAGGTTGGCGCCGGCGCAACAGCAATGCCGCCGCTGTTGCTGGTGGCCAATGGATATACGAGTCAGCATGCGGCGATGCTATCGCCGCCGGCCGTAACCGCAGCAACTGCAGCGACGGCGCCGGCAACAACAACAGCAACAACAGCAGCAGCAGCAACAGCAGCCACGAGCAACAGCAGCAGCAGCAGCAGCTCAACAGCAGCAGCAACACCTACCTATTATAGTCATAATGATATCAATGATGCCTCCGAGATCTCGCGCATATTACAAACTTGCCACAACGGCAACAGCAGCAGCAGCCACAACAGCAGCAGCAGCGCCAGCAACAACAGCAGCAGCGGCAGCAACTTTTTAAACGGCAATGCCAGCGAGGGCAATGGCCATGATACCGACATGGATAACCTAGCTGTGAATTGCTTTGATGCACTGAAGCGCACAGCTGGCGGCAGCAGCGCAACAACCGCCAGCAATCCGCATTTCTACTGGGGCAGCGGCCTCAGCCACTACAACAGCAACATCAACAGCAGCGGCAGCAGCAGCAACAGCTTTCACAATAGAAGCTACGGCAACAGCAGCCCCAAGCTGGAGCCAAAGGCATCGCCGACGCACGTCAGCAGCAGCAGCAACAGCAACATTAACAGCAGCGGTAGCAGCAACATTAACAGCAACAACAACAGCAACAACAACAGCAGCAATAGCGGCAACAGCAGCAACAACAATAGCAATAACAACAACACCAACAGCAACAGCAACAATAATAATAATAGCAATAACAACAACAACAGCAACAATAATAATAATAGCAATAACAACAACAACAACAACAACAGCAACAACAACAACAACGATAACGATAATGTTATCGATAACGGCGAAATTGCGAGCTCGCCGGAACGCATCCTGCTCAGCGAGGATCAGCGGGAAGCGGCGCGCAAACATAATGTGGATTTGCGTTTGCAAATCTTTCGTGATATACGACGACCAGGTCGCGATTATAGCCAACTGTTGGAGCATTTGAATTTGATGAAGGGCGACCAGGAGATGAAGTCCGATTTCATAGACATGTGCATCAGCGAATCGATGCGCTTCCGGCGACACCAAATGGTCAACAGCATACAGGAATGGTGGGAGCGGAATCAGCAGCAGCTCGAGATAACAAAGAGTTAACGTTGGCTGCTATGGAACTGAGCGTGCAACAAGTAGCAGCAGCAACAACATGCAACAACAACAACAACAACAACAACATGCAACATGTCTGTGATGTCAACAACAACAACAACAAACAACAACAACAGCAGCCGTTAACTGAAGCGCAGTGTTAGGTCTAGCCACATATATATATATATATATATATATCAATCTATAGATATATATCCAATTTATATATATATATATATGTGTGTGTGTGCGTGGCCTATATAAAGCAGCGCGAAGCAGCGCGCCTGGCCCAACCAGAAATCATCTAATATATATATATATATGCATATATATATTTAGTGTGTCAATTTCCAAATTCGAGTGCAAACAGCAAAATACACACACACACACACACACACACACCACAACACACACACATTTGTATATAGTGAAATTGTCGTGAGCAAATTATCTGTGTCGTGGGGTTTACCATTATTACCGATTTCTATATATATATATATATTATATTTTTTTTCTTAGGGTTTGTATAGGGGCTGTATTTATGTAGTTCTTAAGCATAAAAACAAAAACACAAAAAAACAAACAAAAAAAAAAAACAAAAACTTAATTCTAAGCAAAAGAAAATACCTAACTTTAAGTCACCGCAAAATAAGAAAAAAAAAAAGAGAAAAAAAATTAATATTAAAACAAACGAAAAATTAGTTACATTACGTGTAAAGTTAAAGCAAATGTATGCAAGAATTAAAAACAATTTGTAGCGCATTAGATTATGTAATTAGTTGTTAGTCGATTTAGTCTATAGCCTAATAACTGTATTAGCCAAGTAAGCATAAAAACCAATTCAGTTCGTAAAAGCCTGCTAACAACAACAACAACAACAACAACAACAACAACAACAACAAACAAATCATATATCTTATATATTATTATAAAGGCTTTAGGCTTAAGCGAAAAACAAACAACAACAGCAAAACAAAAAAAGAATATCACATTTAATGTTTATTTTAATTAAAAACACACACACACACACTTTTTCTAATAACGCGTTCGACTTTTAAACGTTTGAGCTGTACAATATAATTCATAAAACATGTGTTTTTTTTTTGTTTGGTTTCTAGCCATCAGCTCGATTATTTGTCAGGTTTTTAAATTATGCAAATTATTATAAACATTTTTTTTCTTCTGTTTAATGATCTTTATTGTATTTAGCAAGAGTTGACTTAATTATTGATCTATATATATATATATATATTTATACATAAATCTGTTCTAGGCGAAAAGTTTTTTTTTTGTTCATAGCGTTTTTTTTTTTAACACTAAGTTTTATTTTAGTTTTTATGCAGCAATTTCAACATACAAACACACACACACACACACACACACTTATACTTTTAACAAATTGCAATGCAGTTACATACATTACATATAGCATACATATATATATATATATAAACAAAATGAGAAAACGAAAAAGAAAAACTGTTTTTTAAACGCAAACATTTGTTATCGATATATTTGTTTATTTCAAATTTGCGCGCTTTTGCACACTGTTCGTAGGCGTGAGACGAGAGGCGAGAGTTACCGTTAGAAAGGCGAGCGTGACTGTGTGCGTGCGTGTGCGTGTGCGTGTGCGTGTGCCTGTTTTATGTTACGTTCAAGAACATGAATTATTTTTAATAAAATAGCATATTTAACAAATTTCATAGGCTACAACAAGAACAAGAACAACAACAAGAAACAGCAGCTCAACATTTGGCTGCAAATTAAATAAAAAGTATTGCTTACAATTTATTTTTTGTGTGCCATTTGGCGTTTTCTTCTAATCAAATTTGTCGAACTATTTATTGTTTATTTTCTGCCCTCTGTCCCGAACATCCCGCCCCTGCCATGACCCCCACTCGGTGGGCTGCGCCGCGGCAGTGAAAGTCCATGTATGATATGAATGCGCCCCCCCCCCACCACACAACTGACTTACATAACCTAATTATATGTCCGATAAACTTGGTTTAGCATTTAAATAACTGTATTATTTATGTTGTAGCACAGCAGAAGGCATATGTTAGATCATAAAATCAAGTCAAAATTTCAAGATCTAACATAAACATATATTTAACAATCTATAAAATCAATATGATCGTGCAAAGCTTGTACATTTTTGTTTTATCAGCATTTTTGGGAATAATCCTGTAGCCCTTAATGCCACAGTTTGTCTCGCGTATTGGTATTTGTAGTACTATAAGACACACAAAACAGTTTTACCTCAATTGCAGCTTTCAGGTCTTAAGAATCTGAAATTGTTTAGGTTATATTCGCAACATGTTCAAAAACCTCAGGCATATGTTATCGAATAATTGGCGCGCGTTTTGTATTTTAATAAAACTTGCTGCATTGCTTTATATGCAGCTGTAAAGTGTGATATGAAAATTCAAAAATCAAAATGCATAGCTGGGCACAAATTATCAATAAATCGCCGCTATAATTCACAAAAGTTGGCAATCAAATGCCAGCTGATTGTAATCGATAACTGGTTCATCGGATCAATAATTGTTAGCCAAACTATCGAGTTGTTATTTGATTTGTAATGGAAATAAGCAATATTATGATTAAGACAATAAATTAAAGAAAATTAATTATACAACTCTTGTGAAATTTCATGAATTGTACAATTTTGGATGTCAATTTTGCTTATATCGCAACGTCACATAGCGTTGCCATTCTGTCGTTTTAAGCACTGATTCGCAGTTCACTCCAGAAATGAACCAGCCAGGAGTGAGGCAGTTCATTTGCACAGATTAGTTCATCAAACAGTCACCTAATGGACAAACCCAACACTAGCGGCTGACAGTTGTTGGGCGAGTGGCAAAGGCAAAGGCAAAGGCAAAGGCAAAGGCAAAGGCAAAGGCAAAAGCAAAAGCAAAAGTGAATTAAGGAAAGCAGAAGCAATATGCAAAATTAATGTGCACTACGCACGTTGTTTGCTGTTAACATTAAACGCAATGCAAACCATATCCAATTGCAGTCGCTAGCCCCATAACGCACACACACACACACATATACACACACTCGCACATAAATTCACTCATCAAACGGCGTGTGATACCAATTTCTGTTGCAGTTGCGAGTTGCTGCGATTTGCGAGTTTCCGTGTTCCGTATTTATTATTATTATTATTTTTTGTTTTTTTTTTTTTTTTTTGTTGTTTTTTGCATGGTTTGCGGAAAGTAAAAGTGGCTGCCGTCGCCGCCTGCCTTTGCCTGTATATGCATTTGTATATGTGTTTTTGTATTTATATTCATGCACGTTCGGTTACGTTGAGTGTGTGTGCGCGCGCGAATGTTTGTGTGTAAAAAGAAGTTGCAAAAATACAAAAGTTACGCAAAAACATAGCAAAATTGTGTAAAATAACAACACCAGCAGCAGCAGCAACAGCAGCAGCGGCAGCCTCGTGCCACTGTGTGTGTGTGTGTGTGTGTGAGTGAACGTGCGTGCGTGCGTGCGTGTGCGTGCGTGCGTGTGTGTTGTTGTTGTTGTTTGTGCTCTCCTTGGAGCGTACCGGCGGCACAGCAATGAGCGAAAACAACGGCAGCAGCAGCACAACCATCACAGCCGCGAATGGACCGCGCGTCGTCACCATCTACAAGACGGAAACTGGCTTCGGTTTCAATGTGCGCGGACAGGTGTCCGAGGGCGGACAATTGCGTTCCATTAACGGTGAACTGTACGCTCCGCTGCAGCATGTTAGCGCTGTGCTGGAGAACGGCGCCGCCGAGAAGGCTGGCATCAAGAAAGGCGATCGCATACTCGAGGTGTAAGTAGCCTAGTGTTAGTGCTAAAAACAAAAAAAACAAAATGAAAATGAAAATGAAAAAAGAAAAGAAGAAGCTTCCTTCATGTTTGACCTGTTTGCCGTGCCCCGCCCTGCCCCGCAACGTCAACGAAACACACGAGAGCGAGTGAGAGCGAGCGAGAACGTGCGAGCTGTCTAGCCCACCCACAAAACGGCTCCACTCGAAATGGAAAAGAAACTTAAAACTGCGGCTTGGGAGTCCTGCAATCAATAAACGTTCTGTGTGTGTGAGAGAGAGGGTTGTTACTGAACTTTGTCGTCGTCGTCGTCGTCATATCTAGCAACTGTTTGCTTCTTCTACTTCTTGCTGTTGTTGTTGTTGTTGTTGTTGTTGTAATGGCGTAATATTTATGCCATTGTTTGGCCACACTTACATGCACACTCACACTCGCACCTACACACACATACGCACACATATACACACGCACGCCCACAGAGCAAGCTAATTAAAATGTCGCGCTCGCTCCGTCTTTCGCTCTATGTCACTCCACTCTCGCTCTCCCCCTCCCTCTCGCTCTCTCTCTCTCTCTCTCTGGCAAAACTTGCTCCTGCTCTACGCTAAGCTTTTGTTTTGCATCTTTGACATTTTGTGTTATCGTCGCACAGCCAAATGCTGCACCCGCCCCTCGCCGCTTATGCTATCAATCAAAACACATTGCATATAATTGAGTTTTGTGGACGCTCGTGCTTTGATAACCTTTCCGTTCAGGCCTACCCGCCCTCCCTCTCTCTCTCTCTCTCTCTCTCTCGGTCCGTCTGTCTCTATATCTGGCTCGCTCTGTGGCAACTGGGAAAACCTGCGAAAACCTGCGCACAAATTCAATTAATAAATTTAGCAGCAGTTTCGTTGCGCGGCGGATAACAACTTAATTATCGTTGGCAGCGTTCAGCCCCCTCCCCGCCAACACCCCCTCCCCCTTCGCCCGCTGCAGCACAACATGGCGCAGCGGCGTAACCCGCGCAGACACACGCCGCAAATTGGCAAATGTTTATTTTTCATGCATATGTATATATATTTTTTACTTATATTTTTTGGCACTTCCCTCTGGGGCGCAGCTGGCAGTTTGCGGTTGTTGTTGTTGTGGCGCCCATCATTTGATTATCCGCTCGTAACGGTAGAACAATCATAACAGTTATGTTTTGGGTGCACGTGTGCAACAAAGTAACGGTAATAAAAGCTTTACGTTAAAGTTTTCGCTTTAAATGCGTGCATTATAATATTTGTCGCATTTGAACCGGTTCAAATCGGTTGAATTCGTTAATTGAATGAATACAAAATCGAACCGGTAAATCAAGATGGCGATATGCACTTCAATTGCGGTAATTGTTTGTTCCCAAACAAAACTTTTGCTCGGAACAACCCCATATTAATAAACGATTATTGTCATTGTTAAATAAATTCATACATTTTATTGTAACGCACTGAGAGCTTATCTTAAAACTAAAAAAGTATTAAAGCAAATCTGTTTGCTTAAAATCATAAAATAAGTGGGTGGTTTTCTGATTGAGCATGCTCAACTTGGAGATACCCTGGCACACGCCGCTTGATGTCCAGCAGGGCGAAATTTATTCTTGATTTGCATCGGTGCTTATATTCCGATTTTTTTTTTGGAATTTCTGAGGAAATTGCAAGTCATTCTAAAATTGAAATTGATTTCTGCTCAAGAAAACAAGTTTCAAAATAGTTGGGATAAGTTATTGAATAAAATTAAAAACTTGTTTTGCGTGCGACATATGAGAGTATGTAATATATTTAAGATTTCAAGACTTCCGTGAGCGAAGCGTTCTCGCAGACGGACCTGATTAGACCTGATTAAGAATATATATCTACTTTATAAAGTTTTTGCCCATTCGCATAATAGAAGAAAAGTACTATACCCTATTATGCTAAAGTACAAGACGTAGAAAAAAATATGCCCCTTGATCTTCTTTTTAATACATAATATAGCATGTGTTATATATATTTTCAATATTGGATATATAACTAGTTATAGACATATAGTTATAGGTTAGGTCATAGGATTCGAGCCCGGAACCAGTTTTCCGAACGACTGGTTCACTTTGACAGCTCAGCTAACGGGGTGACATTTAAATAGCTTCCTGATCAGGACTATATAGTTTTTGAAATGGGAAATTCTATGAAATTAATTTATAGCATTGTCTACACATGGAGCTTTACATGCATATACATATGTGCTCTATGTTTGTTTACAAATCGTGAACCGTGAACCGTGAATAGTTCGCATCGATATGTGAATGTTGTATACATTGTGTATTCCGTTTTACTATCAAATAACTCGACTTTTAAGCTGCACCTTGATAAAGCAAAGTCTGCTTATCTCTCAACAGTTTCGTATGCGTATTTATAAATGTAAATATAAATATATTTATTTATAAATAACAGTTGCGTTCAGTACAATTGAGAACGAAATTGAGAATTCCTTGTCACCATTTGCATTTATTGTTTTTTTTTTTTCAACCGTAATTTGAGTCTCTTCCGTTCTCATAGATTCAGTCAAATGTGCCAAACAGAATTAATACGGTTCATTTGTGTTTTTGGTTCACTTTTTTTCTATTTTTTTTTTTTTCTGTTTTTCGGTATTTCAAGTATTTAATGTCGCAAATTACCAGGAAACTCGTAATACATGCGCGTGGAATGTTTGATTCTGTGGAATTTGTCATCCATATGAACACAATTATTTATTTATTTTACACTGGACTGCAGAGCATGACACGTCGATTCTTTTTAGATCAGAAATCCCTTTGAACTAGTTCAATTGCACGGCTAGTTCGTGAATATATCTGCTGCCAGTGTTTGCCAACTGCCGATTTAAAGAAATTTAGATGAATGCAGATGAACTTAAAAAATGTCTTGAGTTTGTTTAAAGTTTGTTTAAAGATCTCTCATATGTTAAGGAGTTAGCTGATGAAACTTCAATTTACTTATTCAATTGAGAACCATTTTTGAACTGGTTCACAAAGGGGTTTGACGAGCGTCGAGTTCGTTCAAATGAGCCAGTTCAATTAGTACATTTAAATGTATAATGCATATTCAATATAATGCATTGTTGAATTATTTCAATCGACATATTTCTTGAGGCTTTAGTTAATTTATAGATGTCATAAAATACTTAAACATAGTTTCATAGATTAAGATTTATCTTCAAAAAGTTGGTTTTTTTTCGAGCTTGTCTTTATTTTTATTATATATTTTGATTTTGAATTTGGAGCTAAATGGCATCGAAGCCTAGACATTTATTTAAATTATAAATAATACTCTAATATATTTAACTCATAAATAATTACGACATTCAATGCTAGTTCGCTGCCAGCTCTTAATTGGCAGCTGCTTGCCCAGCCCTGTTTTGTCCAGCCCTGTTTGCTATTGCGTGCCTCTCTTCGCCCACTCTCTTGCTCTCTTGCAGCGGCCGCTCTCTCTCTCTCTCTCTCTGCTGCTCTCTCTGTCTCTCCTTCGCTGGCGAGGGGCGTTTTTGTGCCGGTTGCCAACCGCCAACGCCGCCTCCTCTCATCCTCCACACATCCGTTCGGCCGCGGCGGGCTTATCAACATGCTGGTCGGGTGCTGGGTGGAGTGGGGGGTGGCTGCAGCTGTTAGGTGGGTGGTGGAGGGGGGGGGGGAGGTTCTACTTAGTTGTGTTTAAATATTTGTCGCTCATTGTTTATTCATCTAAATGCTTTCGAATAATTGCTTTGTTGCGGCTAATTAGTCATGGATTCTGCCACAGCTGCTCGAGCACGCCCCTTGCTGAATCCATGGCCGCCCCCTTTCCCTTCGCCTTCCCCTTGACTTTCCCAGTCAGCTGCAGCTGTTGGGCCGCGGCCCACTTGGTGGGCGCATTGTTGCACAGACTGCCATTGCAGCGCACACAGTAGGGATCATTGGCGCTGCACTCGGGCACCTCGTCCGCACAGCCCCGCACCGTGTAGACCAACTGCAGCCGGCTGATTATCGTGCTGACGCACAGCTCGGCCGGCCTGCTGCAGTTGCTCAATGCCATCGCGCTGGGCTGCTCCATGGCGGCGCAGTCGTCGCCCTGCTCCTGCGAATTGCAGCGATAGCAACTGCGCACGGACCAACGATTGCAACCGTCGCCGCTGCGGCACAGCTGGCATGCCTCACCTGTCCCGGCCACGAAATTCGCATCGGCGCAGCCGCGACGCAGCAGCGTATCTTCGGAAGTAAAAAAAAAAACAAAATCAAATTGTTTACAAAGTTCGTACAACAACAGCTCACATTCAATTGTGCCAAGTTTATGCTAAGAAAATGACGATCTGGCAGCACCACAAGCTGATGCGTGTGTTAAGTTGGCTGCGGCTGGTCTATTTTGTGAAATAAAACGTGAGTTTGGAGAACTGAAGAACATATAAGTAAAGTAGTCGCTCGTTTTGACGATCTGGCAGCATTGTGTGTGCATTAAGTTGGCCGCGGCTGGTTATTTTGTGAAATAAAACGTGAGTTGAGAGTCCATCAAGCATTGAATGTAGTTTAGTGGTCGCACAATTGGGACTAGTTCAATTAATTTTAAGTTATTAAGCTTAAGAGCAACTTGACAATCTGATAAATTCGGAAGCTCAAAGGAAAGCCAAAAAGTTAGGTTCAGTTGGGCAAATCTTATAATTCAAAAAGGAATCGAAGAATGCTTCTTAACTTGACAAGTTGTTAAGCTGAAAAGCTTAAACTAACGAAAGACATAAACTATTTGTTTCACACATGGAACTAGTTCATTTAACTATAACTCATTTGGCTTAATGTCAACTAGAAGAATGTGCTTTCATCTGACAACTTGCCATAAAGAAAAGCTCAAACAAAGGAAAGAAAACGAGTTTGGTTCACCATGTGAACTAGTTCATTTTACTTAAACTAATTAACAGCAACCATAATAATGTTTCTTAACTTGACAATTTGTTAGCTTGATAAGCTTAAACGAAGTACAAAACAGT